GGTGGGGGCAGACCCAAAGCAGCGGGGGAGGGAGGTGGGTTGGGTTTGGACCCGAACCTGTCGGGGGAGAGGAGCGGGGGAGGACCCAAAGTGGGAGGGGTGGGGGGCGGACGCGGGGCTTCATTCCCGCTGGTTCCCCTCTCCCCGTCATTCTTGATGGGCAATTTGCTAGTAATTTTAATGTTCATATAGCTTTGGAGTCAAGAGAAGTCAGGTTAACTGGCCAGGCATTGCCACTTCCTCATGGATTTACAACAGTCAGAGTTGCTCAGCTGATTGCTTGTAGCTATACAACTTTTTTATACTTCTGGCTACAAATGTTAATCACATATTTGGTTAACTTCACTCTGCACTCACAGATGCTAACCCTGCCCAGTGACTCAGTGTTGCAAAACATCACCCCTGCTCAGCAAACCAATACTTTCTCAACTTAGTCATGAGCACTTGTGCCATCATGGCATTTCTCTGGCCAAGTGGAGCTTGCCAGGCCTACACAATGATGTTAATCCTTGGCAAATACTCACATATCAAATGCTAAATCCAGCATGGGATTTAGAAGCCTAATTGCCTTCACAGATAATACAAGTAAAAATTCAGATCCTCCCAACTCTCCCTTAGCTTCTGTGCCATTCTGGAAAAGTCCTAAGTCCCTGGGCACCTACATGTCTACCAGTAGTCACAGGTATCAAAATCTTGGCAGCGCTAAGCAGTTTGGTGCCTATTTCACATATCAGTCAGATTAGGCTAGATATTTCCTTCCTAGCACAACTGAGGGGTCAAATGCAGTAGGCATTCTCAGGACACAGCCCCACAAAAAAACCCCCCAAAACCCACTGCCAAGTAGCACTTACTCATAATGTGCGGGATTGAGGCTCTCTTTCCTCCTCTGCCTGTGGGGACTGGAACATAGATTCATAGATGTTGCTGGGTCTAGATGACCCCAGCTAGATGGTTATCTAACCTCCTCTTGAAGATCCCCAGGATAAGGGAGAGCCCCACCTCCCTTGGGAGCCCGTTCCAGACCTTGGCCACTCTAACTGTGAAGAAGTTCTTCCTAATGTCCAGTCTAAATCTGCTCTCTGCTAGCTTGTGGCCATTATTTCTTGTAACCCCCAGGGGCACCTTGGTGAGTAAAGCCTCACCAATTCCCTTCTGTGCCCCCGTGATGAACTTATAGGCAGCCACAAGGTCGCCTCTCAACCTTCTCTTACGGAGGCTGAAAAGGTCCAGGTTCTCTAGTCTCTCCTCGTAGGGCTGTCTGTAGGCCCTTAACCATACGAGTGCCCCTTCTCTGGACCCTCTCCAGGTTATCCGCATC